ACATCACCAAAATGATTTGCTCAAATTGTCGGAACTACAAATATACGAGTGAAAAGTTCAAAGAAGAGTGCGTTACCAAAAATTCACCTCCACTGGGATCTTCGGGATAATAGAAAGAGAGGGCGACTAAGGAACACCTGTCATCGTGACCTCGACGTCCTCTGTGATCTATTATTGAAGAGACGCACGGCAACTTGGAATCTATTTGTTTTATATAATGAAGAATTAAAATAGACGGAAAATAGTTTTAAAGATGACGTCATCTATACGTCTGTCCTCCAATAGATCATAGGTGAGAACCAATCAGAATGCGTGCATAACTGAGCTTATTATATTAACAAATATGTGTATACATATATATATATATATATATACACAAGTTAAAAGTTCTGTCCGACGAGCGTTTAGGTGCAAAACTTATTTTAGTCACAGAGAATCGATGCGTTCTCTTTAATTCTTTAACTTATGTCTACTTAGCTCTGCTACCACAGAATTGAGCACTTTATGCCAAGGTAGACTCTACCCCTACATTTATATATATAAATAGATATATAGATAGATAGATAGATAGATAGATAGATAGACAGTTAAAGATATATCTATACTTGTAAAGTATATAAACCATCGTTATACACTTTACAAATTTGCATTATAGGCGTGGCGGTAAGTTAAAATTATTTGCTCAATTGCTACGCAGTAACGCTTTTTTTTCTGTGGGAGCATGAGCAAACGAGTTCATTACGTTTATTGAGTGTTGAGAATTCAGGTCGGCAGATGAGAAATAATTTTTCTTTGAGGCAGAAGTTGAACCTCTACCTCAAAGGAAAACTACTTGCCGACCTGAATTATAACCTCAAAGAACTTGTAATTCATATCCGAATGTCGCAGCTTTCGACAATTTTAGATATAAAAGCTATTAAAATTTTTCGGTTTGATATATTTTATTAAGAATTAATATTTTTCAGAATTATCAAAAAATTCTCAAATGACATTGATGTTCAATGTTGCTATTAAGAAAATTCGTTAGGTACATTAAAGGCTGTTGTCAGCGGATGTCGCTGACAACAGCACTGGAACGTAGAGTGAACATTTGAGTCTGAATTTGACTAGTTCCTTTCATAGACCTTTAACAGTCCTTTTATTAGATTTGCGTGCACTAGAGATGTCAGCAGAAAATAATGGGACAGTATTGTTAATAGTTTCGAGTCACGCATCGCATCCGTTTCGAAAAACATCCGTCCTCTACCTTTCCCCGCCGAGGTCGCCGGTGAATACAATTAATGTATTGGCAGGAGCCCATTACCCGGAGCCTCCATACCAATTGTGCTCTTGAGTCAACCCTGTCATGTATCTTTTTGTTTTTAGAACTGAGATATGTGCGTGTGTGTGATTGTGTCTTGTTGTGGGTATTGCTCAGACTCTTGATTTCTTTTTATAACTGGCAAAATGGGACTTAAATTTATTATCTAAAGTGAACGTGAATCGAATTTCAATTATTCAGAATTGATAACGATGTTCATGAATGATTTTGTCTCAGACTTCTTGAGTCCAACCCAAGAATTCAAGACATATTTCCCGCCTTTAAGAATTTGAAACTTGAAGCCGTAATCAACTCTCGATCTCTCAATCTTCACGTCAGACGAGTCATGATTGCGCTGGAAAATGCTGTGTTTTCTTTAAACGACGCAAATGTTTTCATCGTGTATTTAATGAACCTTGGAGATAGACATAAAACATGGCCCGTGAGGCTGGAACATTTCGATGTATGTATTCCATTATGCCGATGAAGGCTATTTACGGGTACATATTGCTGTATAGCGCTGTATAGCGATGTAAACTACAGAAGAGAGAAGTATAGAGCTATATATCTAGGAGTAGATATCGCTGTTTATGATCCATCAATTGTTTTTGCTCGTGCGCGACTGATCTAAACGCAGCAAGCGACTGAATATACCCAGCTAAAACTGGGTGATATCCGAGAATATTACCCAAGCGATATTCCCAAATTTGAAAACCTTACATCCACCACGATAAGTCTTCTTTTCAAACTGTATTCAATTCTGGATAAGTTAGCATTATCATCTGAGTTAATTACGTAAATTGAAAGCTCACGTTTCGAGCGTTAGCCCTTTGCAATCGCTCTAACGAAGGGCTAACGCTCTTTATTACCCCCTTGAGTCATTCAATTCATTAAGCTGTTAATAAATATTTTTCACGTGCGTTGCAAAATATTTGAAGGATAAAAAAAACACAATTGTGACTATTTTGCGCGAAAATACGTACAGGTATTTGTCCTTGGACATTGTCTGTCCCTCGAAGCTCTCGGTTTTCGCATCTTGGAACAGGCAATGTCCGCGGACAACTATCCGTACTCATTTTCGCGCCAAATTGGAGAAATTATTTATATAGCGCTGTATGGTAATGTAAAATTCGGTAGATGGAAGCATGTAGCTATTTAGGGGTACATATAGTTTTGAAGCGCTGTGAAGTTACTGCATTTTACGGATTTACAGCGCTACTCAGGGGTAGAATGTTGTATTGTGCTGTATAATGATAAAAGTTGCAGTAGAGGGATGTATACTGGTATTGAAGGGAGGGGGGAGAGGGGCATATGGGCGTGTGTATTCGAGTTTATTCTACGATGTAAGGACACATGGAGTCCAATAATCGATGGAACGCGTTTGCTCATAATGAATCTCTCAAGTTGTTATCGACTATCTCTCTAAGTACTATGGTAACTTATCCTTTCTTGATTATTGTTAAAAGGAAGAACAAAAGAAGGGACGCGCAAATGTGAAAAGGTGTAAAAACTTGTGTGAGGAAAAAGGTAAAAAGGCGCATACATGTAACAGTATGAACACGTCCGTCGGTGCTCAAAACCGTAGAAGTGGGAGATAAAATCAAAGAGACGACTCGCGTTTGTTAAGTGGGTAGGGGCTTGACTATCAGCTGTACACTTAATCAAATAGGCGCGCGCAGGTCAAAACAGGCATTGAAGTCCCCATAGGATCTGTTCTCTCTGCATTTCACGTGAATCCTTGGAATATGAAGACAGACAATGAAAATCAAGGTAGTTTTTGTATTTTTTACACTTTACATTTCTCTTACACAAAGAAATAAAAAATAAGTATAGTAGAAAATGCATTAAATTGTTAAGGCTTAAAGTAAAATACGTGCTGAACGGAGACACTAAAATGAACCCATTTACTACCAAGACTGATCATAATTTAATTTTCTCCTCACAGTATTAACACAGCAAAACACGTGGTGTCAATAAGAATTAGAGAAAATCTTAACTTGAGGATAATTTTTTGATAGAAACGTAATGTCACATTGAATTCTCGGAATGAAGCAACAAAGAAATACATTCTTATCAGTTGGGAGAATTTATCAAACTTGGGTGTTCATGAGTTGATTAAAGTAAGGTAAATGAATAATTATCTTTAACTGTGAATAAAAATACATCAAAACACTTCACATGAAATACACTGACATTATACAAAGCATGCTCAGTTAAAATTGTCCCAACTTGTTTTTAAAATCCTACGTTACATCATATTCAACCATGTCCGAGGTTCACTATTAAATTTTATACCAGCATATACCAATGGCAGTTGCGAAAATCTGCTAAATTAAGATTGATTTTACAAAAATATCTTCTAAACAGCTGTGATTCAGTATATCTCAAACTTTTGACCACACAACGGGTTCTAATTAAAGCATTCTTTGAATACCTATGTATAAATTCTTAAATCTAAGAAAGATGTTAATGATCAGACATCTTCAATTATACTACGCTAAATTTAGAGCAATGGAAAAAGTTTGAATAGGGAATTTTCAAAAATTGAAAGTTTTGTCCTGAAGCCCTGAACCTTTTCAACTGAGGACTAGATTTACAATTGTTTATGAACCTTTTCACCAAAACAATTCCCATTGAGGATTACAGGGCTTACTTTCATTGCTTCTGTGATTTGTGGGCGTAAAATAATTTCCTACTTGAAACAACAACTTCCATGTCATATAAATTAAAAGTCGCAGCTATAGAAAACTTCAGTTACAGTGAATCCTCTTCGCTGTTTCCTTGTTTAGATTACATGGACAATTTTTAACCTCTCTGTCGTCGTTTTTTTTTAAAACGAACAGATAAGTGTTTGATAAAACAGACTAAAATTGACGAAACTCGTTTGGTTAAAAGCAGGGTTGTAGCCAGCTTTTTGACTTGCCGTGGGCCTGTTCCCTAAGAAAATTCAATTTTTGTTTCAACATTTGCAAGAGTCATATTACAAAAGTCAAGCAGGTGGAAAACAATGGTAGGCCGGGCCTACAGGACTAAAGGCTGGCTACACCCCTAAAAGTGGGTTTAATGTCTCTGACATATGGACAGTAAATTCAATAACATCGTCTCTGATGTTTACTTCATCAAATTAAGCCTAGAGTGGCAATCTTGGCACTAATAAAATTAGACTGCTTCACAATTGAAGGAAAAAAAAATGGAAATGAAAATCAATTTTTTTTTAAATTTCGCCAACTTTTGCAAATAACGAACTGTTTCTTTGGTTATCTAGAACTTACAGTATAAATGTAATTAAAACCAGGTGGACAAGTTCCTGGTTATGCACAAGAAAAAACCATTAAATTGTTTTCCATACAACTGACTGTAATACAGGAATAGAGCTGAGTGTCATTTTGGCGAAAACGGAAACCTCGTAATCGCCTTCAACTACTGCAGGTATTCTTAACCGAAGCCTTGTTGCATTTCATTCTCTTCGCGAGCATTTGCATTTGTAAAGGTAACAAAAAAAGACAATTCCACTGATCAAAATATAATAAAACAGTCTCTTTATTTCTTCACCAAAGTAAAGTTACACATCTCAAGTTCCATTTAACGAAAAAGTAAACTAAGAGTAATGAAAAATAACACAAATTGCCGAAATAGAGAAACATTTCAACCTTCCAAGTTCCTGCGTCGTTCTTTTTGAGATGAAAAAAAAGGCAATTTTTTATCTATATGATTTTACATTTAAATTTTCTCTTTCCTTTGCATTGAAGTCAAGAGTGATGTCATCTCCAATCAGCGAAAAGGGCGCCCAGTATCTGAAGTCGTGGAACTCATCTGATTCTCTGAGACTTTTCATGGCCAGGTTCAGTGACTCGCTTGCAGGTTTACCTTCTACAAGGTGTTGATAAAAGGTTTTCATGAACTGGAGAGTAGCCTCGTCATCAATCGCCCACAGGGACACCAAAACAGACCGAGCACCAGCCCCCATAAAAGCGCGGGCAATGCCAACCACACCTTCAGCCTTGATCTCGCCCCGACCACTGTAGTTGCAACTAAGCACAACAAGTTTGGCGCGAATTTGAACATTCAACACATCTCCAATTGTTAAAATGTAATCCTCCTCCGTCGGCACACAAGATATTCGGTCTGGGTCAGGTGTAAGAGCAATTTCGCCAGTTTCCAGACATCCGTGTGCCGCAAAGTGAATTAAGGAAACGGAACCGAGCCTTTTCAACACCTCACGCTTCGTGGCCTGTCTGCCAGTGATTGGCGTGATATTCAGAATTTTTCCGATCATTTCTACTTCTTCTCTAGCAAACAGAAGCTGACACAGGACTTCCTCTCCCTTGCTGTTAGTAATCTCGGATACCCACGGATCTCCTACAAGTAACGCACCACTGCTTTTGTGATAATCATCTGGACAATGGGCAATGAGTCTAAGACTTGCTAACGATGGAGCGAGTCGGATTCTGAACGATTCACACAGGTATTTAGAATTACCATCCTTCAATGCAGCGTAAGGAGCGAGCCACAGGGGTCCATCGGGAATAATGACTAGCTCATCCCCTTGAAGCAGGTCAGCCACCGGCTTCATAACGATATCATACAAAGTACTCAAAGCATCCAAAGATGGATTCTCGCAAGCACCGAGCACGAACGCCTCGAGGGACTGGCTAGCTTCTTTTTTCTCTGAAACAGAACCATTAAGTTTACTTTGTCTTAACTGAACTTGTTTTCCTTCGGACACAACCCAAAGATTGACGTCAGCTTTGTCCACTGCCTGAAAGACGGTGTTTGATGGAACGTTTTCATGAACTGCTAAATCTTCATCGCCTCTGTGCTGACTTGCTCCACCACAAAAACTGGATTCCATAAGGTCGGTCAGAGCTTGAGCTCGTCCTTGCTCAGCAGCAAGTAAGGCATGATCTATATTACCTTGTTCTACGAGAACTCTGCACAAATCCGTATACGCCATCTGATACTGATTTCGAAAATGAACTTTCCACTCATCTTTAGATTTTAGGAGTACTCTTAAGGAATTGTATAAGTTTATGCTAGCTTGATAATAAACAACAGCTTTAGGAAGTCTACCAAGCGACTCAAAAACACATCCTACTGAATAGTAGGCCTTGGCCTCTAAGGATTTGTCTCCTACTTCTTTAGCAATTTTAAGCATTACCTGGTAATAATTGTTGGCATTTATCAAATATCCCAGAGTTCGATACATATTGCCAAGATTGCCATAAGCGTTACCCTCCCCGCGCTTGTCTCCTACTTCTTTCGCAATTTTAAGCATTAGCTGGTAATAATTGTTGGCCTTTATCAAATATCCCAGAGTTCGATACATATTGCCAAGATTGCCATAAGCGTTACCCTCCCCACGCTTGTCTCCTACTTCTTTAGCTATTTTAAGATGTAGGTTGTGGTACTCTATGGCTTTTTTGAAATCACCCAGATTGCGATAAGCATTGCCAAGATTGCCATAAGCTTTACCCTCCCCATGCTTGTCTCCTACCTCTTTAACTATTTTAAGATGTAGGTTGTGGTACTCTATGGCTTTTTTGAAATCACTCAGACTAAAAAAGGCATTGCCAAGATTGCCATAAGCAACACCCTCCCCATGCTTGTCTCCTACTTCTTTAGCTATTTTAAGATGTAAGCTGTGGTACTCTATGGCTTTTCTGAAATCACCCAGACCGTCATAAGCAGTGCCAAGATTTCCATAAGCTTTACCCTTCCCATGCTTGTCTCCTACTTCTTTAGCTATTTTAAGATGTAGGTTGTGGTACTCTAGGGCTTTTTTGAAATCACCCAGAATGTCATAAGCAGTGCCAAGATTGCCATAAGCGTTACCCTCCCCATGCTTGTCTCCTACTTCTTTAGCTATTTTAAGATGTAGGTTGTGGTACTCTATGGCTTTTTTGAAATCACCCAGACGGTGATAAGCATTGCCAAGATTGCCATAAGCGTTACCCTCCCCATGCTTGTCTCCTACTTCTTTAGCTATATTAAGATGTAGGTTGTGGTACTCTAGGGCTTTTTTGAAATCACCCAGAATGTCATAAGCAGTGCCAAGATTGCCATAAGCTTTACCCTCCCCATGCTTGTCTCCTACCTCTTTAACTATTTTAAGATGTAGGCTGTGGTACTCAATGGCTTTTTTGAAATCACTCAGACTAAAAAAGGCATTGCCAAGATTGCCATAAGCAACACCCTCCCCATGCTTGTCTCCTACTTCTTTAGCTATTTTAAGATGTAAGCTGTGGTACTCTATGGCTTTTCTGAAATCACCCAGACCGTCATAAGCAGTGCCAAGATTTCCATAAGCTTTACCCTTCCCATGCTTGTCCGCTACTTCTTTAGCTATTTTAAGATGCAGGTTGTGGTACTCTAGGGCTTTTTTGAAATCACCCAGAATGTCATAAGCAGTGCCAAGATTGCCATAAGCGTTACCCTCCCCATGCTTGTCTCCTACTTCTTTAGCTATTTTAAGATGTAGGTTGTGGTACTCTATGGCTTTTTTGAAATCACCCAGACGGTGATAAGCATTGCCAAGATTGCCATAAGCGTTACCCTCCCCATGCTTGTCTCCTACTTCTTTAGCTATATTAAGATGTAGGTTGTGGTACTCTAGGGCTTTTTTGAAATCACCCAGAATGTCATAAGCAGTGCCAAGATTGCCATAAGCTTTACCCTCCCCATGCTTGTCTCCAACTTCTTTAGCTATTATAAGATGTAGGCTGTGGTACTCAATGGCTTTTTTGAAATCACCCAGACTGTCATAAGCAGTGCCAAGATTGCCATAAGCGTTACCCTCCCCATGCTTGTCTCCTACTTCTTTAGCTATTTTAAGATGTAGGTTGTGGTACTCTATGGCTGTTTGGAAATCACTCAGACTCTGATACACATTGCCAAGAGCGCCATAAACTTTACCCTCCCCATGCTTGTCTCCTACTTCTTTAGCTATTTTAAGATGTAGGTTGTGGTACTCTATGGCTTTCTGGAAATCACCCAGACTCGAATACGCTTTTCCAAGATTGCCATAAGCACCACCCTCCCCTCCCCGATTATAGAGGTCGATGACTTTCTTGACATTACCTAAACTTGCATTGCGACGGTCATAGCTAATATCACCTTTTTCCTCCATGGACTTGTCTCCCACTTCTGTGAGAGACTGAAGCCTTAATGACAAGAAGATCCTATGATTTCTGTCAATCTTTTTTTTGTATTAAGGTTTAAAAATGTGGGAAAAAAATATATAATCCCTTATTTACGAAAACTGGGAAGCACTTGCTCGATTTTTAAATTAATATAGCTTTAATATGTGACAAATGTTTTACAGTAGTGGAAGAAATGAGTCTAGAACACAAATATGTGCTTCTAAAAGTTGTATTTGTTGTAATTGTGAAGAACAGCTCCCCTCCACCGACGGTCGGCCAACTGTCAGCCGGACGACAGATTACCAACAGTTGGCCAACTGTTGGTGGAGGGAGCTGTTCTTCACAATTACCGTATTTGTCCGTAGGGAAACGTGATGAAAGTTTCCGAGCCTTTGAGTTGTGGAAACAAAATTAAAGGCAAGAAGATCAGCCAAAAAGCTCCTTTATCTGACTCGTTTCAGGAAGATTATCTACCCACGTACCATGTATGAACTGGGGGAATATTAGTCTTTCAACTGAACTATGCACCAGTTGTGGTAAGTCATTGCTAAAAGGAGTATATCAGTATTAGGTCATAATTAAATAACTTTTCCCAAGTACACACACTAAAAATATGAGCTGACAAGTTCCCATCGTAATTAATACCCTTTGTATTTTCTCCCTTAAAACGTCAATTTGTGGAATGTTTCCATTACACCCATGATTAAAAATTACAGATTCCTTCAAAGGATACAGCTAATCCCTTATCACACCAAGTGATTGCTTCTTCAAATCTCTTCAGTTCAACACAGGCAGTGGCTCCTGTAGGCAACAACACAAGGAAGCATATTATTACTGGCATAGCTCAATTCCAAGAAAAGAACTTGAAATCTGATTGAAAGCTAAATCATTACAGACCACCAAAACAAAACAAAACACAACACAACACAACACAAAACACAACACAACACAAAACAAAAAACAAAACAAAACAAAACAAAACAAAACAAAAAACAAAACAAAAATTAAATGAAAAATAATAAAACAGGCCCTATCAGGGTTTTGTTAGATTGTTAGATTAGCTTTTGATAATTGAAACTTCTAAGAACATTTAAATTGGGACCAACAATTCCCACAAAATTACTAAGAGATATGAATAGAACATAAGACATGCAATGTGTAAGTGGAAAAATAAAACCCATCTTTTAAAATTGTTATAGTGGTACATTTTTTAGTTAACCTTTTAGAACTGGGTTAAATTTAAACTTTCACCGAAATATAACATACAAATTTTAATTTGATATAAAACTAGTTTCCCTTTGGTTTAGTGAACATATTTGTTTTAATCAATCAGTTGATAATTAATTACTAGGATGTGACTCAAACTAAGGTTTGAAGTTCACCAGGAATAAGATTTACTTGTGCCATCTCTAGTTACATTATTATTACATGTATTATGGCACTTGAAATTAAGTTATAGTTCATGAATGAGGACATTTTCCTTACAGTTTTAGGTTAAGTTAAGTTTTTACTTCTTTCCAAAACTGCTAGATAGACTGGGGAGAGCGTCAAAGAATGTAGACGTGTGTTGCGAGGCTCCGTAAACCGGACAATTTTACTACCGTTTGAACGTCCATGGAAAAATTATTCATCACTCCAAAACGGAAAAGTAGCTATCGCAGTGATTCGGAGCCGTCACCAGAAGATAAAAGACTGAAAGAGTCAAATTCTCCGGCTAAGATATCGTGTGACGAAGACGAGGTCATGGAAGCACTCGGATGCAAAATAGATTTAGTGTTATCGAAGCTTTCTAACCTGGAAACAAAAATGGAAGAACTGAACGCAGCAGTCAAAGGTCTACAAAGCAAGGTAACGTCTTTGGAGAGAGAAGTAGATTCAGTGAAAACGAAGCAGAAAACCTTAGACGAACACTTCACTTCAATGGAACAAAGTTCTGTATTCGTTGACGAGCAAGTACAAGACCTGATAGCTAAGACTAAAAAAAACAATGACGACGTCAGCGATACACGTAGAAAACTGTTATGCTTGGAGGCCTACAGTCGACGCGAAAACTTGAAATTTGAAGGCATCCCCGAAACTTTCGCTTCGAGCGAAGAAGATGGAGCTATTCAGCGGGGCGACGTGTCTACTGAAATTACAAAAGCGGTGCTGACTGATTTCTTTGAAAGAGTCCTGGGAATAGAAGATACAAAGAACATCGAATTTCAACGAGTACACCGAATGGGCAAGCCAAGAAAGGAAAATGGAAGAGAAAGGATCATTATTGCGCGTTTCTTAAGATTTTCAGACCGAGAACGGGTGCTCAAAGACGGACGTAAACTCAAGGAAACAGGATACAAGATGTATGAAGACCTCCCGAAAGAAATCCACGAGATGCGAAAGCTCCAAATGGAGAAGTTAAAGAATGCCAGGAAGGACGGTAAACGTGCTTATTTTAGTAGATCGGAGCCCGACAAACTTTACATCAACGGTAAATACGTCAAAATATAAAATGTAATAAGTTTATTTGGGTTAACGTTGCTATCATGATCATTCTTTTTCTCTAGAAAATTCTAATTTAAGAAGCAGTAGAAAATTCCTGCCATTTATCTTTCTCACACCTCATGGGCACTACCAGTTTGATTTTTTTTTTTCGCATTCCGGTGAAAGGGTTTCGGGTGGAATGATGTACTAGGCGTTTGTTCGTGCTCGTAAACAGTTCTTCTGGAGCAAGAGGTATGTGGGATTGGTTAACTTATTTTCGCCCTCAGCCTTCGTTTTCGTTCTCGTTTTCGTTTTATGTTCATGTAGTTTTATCGCAGTCTGTTAGATACCAATTTATTTCATTCAAACCACACTCGATTTTTATACCCGGCTCATTTTCATATTTTAAGAATGTAATATCTATCAACTTACTCTTATGAATAACGTTTGCCTTAATGTTCTATCCTTGAATGTTAGAGGAATTCGTGATCTCAACAAACGCAAATCGATCTTTACATGGGCTAGGAACCAGAAAGCGGATATTATTTTTTTGCAAGAGACATATAGTACGCCAGATGTTTTTGATAGTTGGAAATTTCAGTGGCTGGGAGATATGTATTATTCGCACGGATCCAATCATAGCAAAGGCGTTCTGATGTTAATACGTGAGACCCTTCAATTTGAGTTGAAGTCGGTCAAGAAAGATAGCCAGGGCAGATTCGTTATCGTTGAAGCGTTAGTTCAAGATTCTCCCGTTTTGTTGATCAATATTTATGCTCCTAACAATACCCACGACGCTGTTGACTTCTATGAAAACCTTAGGACTACTTTACTTGAGAGTGACTATGACCAGGACTACAGGTTTATTATGGGAGGTGATTTTAATGTGCCATTAAGTCTTCAACTTGATAGCTATGGAAGTAAAACAGAAAAAAAAAGACGTGGTAACCAAAATCCGCGAGCTAATGTTAGACTTTAACCTAGTAGATACATGGAGACTTAGGAACCCGGATAAAAAGCGTTACACGTGGAAACACAATAAGCCTTTAGTCCAACGTCGGTTAGACTACTGGCTAATAAGCGATGACTTTCAAGATGACGTGGACAGCACAGGTATAATTTCTGCCATTAAAACAGACCACGCTGCTATTGTGCTCCACGTTAACAGTGTTGAAATGCAACCAACTGGGCCGTCATATTGGAAATTTAACCCTAGCCTGTTAGAAGATCCAGAATATATCAATCTTATAAAAGACAACGTTCCCTCGTGGCTAGTAGAATTTAATGAAGTGTCAGACAAAGGTCTTCTGTGGGATTTAATTAAATACAAAATAAGACAAGTAACAATGAAATATAGCAAAACAAAGGCAAAAGAAAGGAGAAGTCGTCTTTGCGAAATCGAGAATAAATTGAAAGAATGCCAAGAGATATTTGACTCTAATCCGACAGAAAATAACGCTGTACAGCTGGAAACGATCAAATCTGAGTACAACTCACTGTATGATTATACTAGTTATAGTTCTCACTAGAGCTGCCCCCGCCCTACAGTACCATTTTCTTTTGTTTTTTTTTTTAGTTGGGCTTGTTGTTTACAGTTGTGTAATTTTTCTGTTATGTTGTTACGGAATTGTGGCTCAACACTTTGGTTTTAGTAATTTTGGATCTCAAAATACTACAAGTGTACAAAATGTAGTTTTGCGAAGTGCTTGGGATGTTTTTTTTTGCTGTAATTTACAATTACAACCAGTAATTTCCTTTCTTTGACTACTGTTTACTTTCAGTTGTGCTGCGAGTCCTTCGCGCCCAATAACAGACTTGCCTCTGACAAATCAAGAAATTGCCGAGTCTTTCGGCTTTGTGCAATAAGCTTGATTTGCGGCGGACAAATCGGAGTTAACCGATTCTTTCGGTCAAAATGCTAAACTTACATCGTCTTCTGAGCATCGGTGAAATTATTTCTGTATTAACTTCTGTATAACACAAATGAGTCAAGACAGCTTTTAAGCACAAAACAGCACTCTCCGCGCCTTTCACACTTTGATGGTCGCGTGGACTCCGACCGAAGAAATTCTAAAACTCTGAGAATAATCCAACATCAAAGCAAACGAGTTAGAAGCTCAACTTTTTCATGTATTTGATATCTGGTTATACTTTAATTATGCTGCAAGTTCTTTGCTTTAAGTTCTCACGTTAGCTGACTGAGCTGTGGACCCTCCGCCGCCTTCGATCGAGACTTCACACAACCGTTTCTCTTTTGACGGATTCTAATCACCTTTTAAACTCAAAACTACCTTTAATTGTTAGAAAGATGCTATACACAATTACCGTTGGACTTGGAAACGCTTCTCGACGCGGACGCTTAACTCGAAATCTCGACAAGGACAAAGCTCGTGTTAAAGACACCGATCCCAAAAGTCCTCGCGCGCGTGTCTTTTTTTACCATTTTCTTTCTTTTTTTTTGAGTTGGGCTTGTTGTTTACAGTTGTGTAGTTATGACCATTTGCGGGAAAAACGTTGATACCCTGCGGCCGTGCAAGCGATCAAATCGAGATTTTTTTTGGTTACGATCAACCGAAAACACCTACATTCTCTCTTCTCCAGTCTTCCTCTATACTAGGACAAATCTCGTGTCAAAGACGCCGATCCTAAAAGTCCTCGCGCGCGTGTCTTTTTACTGGCAGCCCATGACCATTTGCGGGAAAAACGTTGATACCTTGCGGCCGTGCAAGCGATCAAATCGAGATTTTTTCTGGTTATGATCTACCGAAAATACCCACATTCCCTCTTCTCCAGTCTTCCTCTATATTACGCGGGGAGTCCTAAGGTGCCTCCTCGGGTTTTCGGCCCTCTGGGGCCAAAAACCCTGCGGGGGCAATTACGCGGGGAGTCCTAAGGTGCCTCCTCGGGTTTTTGGCCCTCTGGCGCCAAAAAACCCTGCGGGGGCAATTATTCAAGGTAATGTTATTCGTTCTAGAGCCAATTGGTATGAACATGGTGAGAAAAATAACAAATATTTCTTAAATTTAGAAAGTAGAAAGATGAGCAACTCTTGCGTCCGTAAACTTTTTGATAAAGGCGGTAAATTAATAACTAATCCTAAATCAACTTTATCAGAATTGTATGATTTCTATACTGAATTGTACTCTAACCGCGACCCACCCAATCATAACAATGTTAGCGATGCGTTTCTTGACCAATGTCGTTTGCCAACTTTAAACGAAGATGCCAAACAAATTTGTGAAGGGGTTCTTACAAAGGCGGAGTGTTTTAAAGCTCTACAAACGTTTAAAAACGGAAAATCCCCAGGTAACGATGGCCTGACAGCAGAATTTTATCAAGTATTTTGGCCCACCTTAGGACATTTGTTAGTTGACTCTTTAAACAGTTCCTATGGAAAAGGAGAATTGGCAAACTCCCAAAAACAAGGAATTATAAAACTTATTGAGAAGAAAAACAAGGATAAAAGATATGTTGCGAATTGGAGACCCATTTCTCTGTTAAACGTGGATGTTAAGATTGCGTCCAAAGCTATAACATTAAGACTCGAGAAAGTTCTTTCCGACTTAATTAGTGCTGAACAGTGCGCATATGTGAAAGGAAGGAACATCTTTGATGCAGTACGAACTATAGGTGATATTATGGACTATACAAAGTTATACAATCTCTCCGGTCTCATGGTGACCATTGACTTCGAGAAAGCGTTTGACTCCTTAAGTTGGAACTTCCTTTTTAAGACCTTGGAAAAGTTCAATTTTGGAGAATCCTTTATTAGGTGGATACGTCTTTTCTATACTAATATATCCAGCTGCATTATGAATAATGGTGTAGCAACTCCTCTTTTTTCAATCGGAAGAGGGGTTAGACAGGGAGACCCTCTCTCGCCCTATTTATTTATTTTAGCCTTGGAAACCCTCCTTACCGCTATCAAACAGATTCGAGATATAAAAGGTATAGTAGTAGAAAACAAAGAAATCTTAGTTCCTTATTTAACACATATGGTGAATGTTCAGGGCTTAAACTAAATAAGGACAAAAAAGAAGCCTACTGGTTAGGAAGTTCCTATCGAAATCACGAAGCTCTCGATATTAATAAGGTGAATGAGCCAATTAAAATACTAGGTATATTTTTCACTTATGATCAGCGTAAAAGCAGAGAGCTTAACTTTGACCTTACAATAAAATAGTCAATAAGAAAGTCCTTAAGTTGCTGGCAATGGAGAAACTTAACATTAATTGGTAAAATTCAATTAGTCAAAACATTTGCTATGCCTAAGTTTATGTATCGGGCCTCCTTTATCTCTTTTGATAAGGATATAATTAAAAGCATAAATTCTGTGATATTCAATTTCGTGTGGAGAGGCAAAGACAAAGTCAAAAGACTAGCCTTAATTAGTGAATACGAAGACGGTGGCCTCAAAATGCCTCACCCTGAATCTTTAATTAAAACTCAAAGAATTGTGTGTCTTGCAAGGTATTTAGATGATAATGGTAGTCCGTGGAAAGTTTTCTTGTCTCATTATCTTAAGAATGTAGGAACCAGTTTTCTGCTTCAGTGCAATTTCAATCCATCGCGCCTACCCTGTAAACTACCTTCTTTTTATAAAGAATGTCTTGAAATTTTGTCTGACTTTAATGGCAATCACGATATAATAGCTACAAAACAGGACGTTTTAAATGTGACTATCTGGAACAACCAGAACCTCTTGATTAACAAGAAATCAATATACAACAAGAGAATAAAAGAAGCAGGTTTTGTGAAACTTGGAGATATTCTCTCAAATGACTCAAAATTAAAAAGGTGGGACGCTTTTAGGGAGAAAAATCTCTCCTTGTCAGATCACTTACTCCTACAAGGCATTTTTTCCGCCATTCCGCCTAACTGGAAACAGCTCCTTAACGTTGGAGAGAATAATAACAACCGAATTGACAAAACTGTTTCAGACGATGTTCAAGATATAACTAGAATGACTTCAAAATCAATCTATTCCACCCTGGTCAAACGAATCCAGATTTCTCCGACTGCCCAATCTAAGTTTAATTCCGTATATAAAATTTCAGGTAATATAGACTGGAAAAATATTTATCTATTGCCGGGTCGAGTCACTCTTGACACCAGAACGAGAGCCTTTCAATACAAAATCTTAAATCGTATTCTCTACACCAATAAAATCCTATATAAAATGAATTTGGTTCCTTCTCCGATGTGTACCTTTTGTGGAGATCACGAAGAAACTCTTGAGCATCTTCTAATCAGCTGTACCTACACTAAAAACTTTTGGCTTTCGGTTATCTCTTGGTTAAATACTTACACTGTATGAAAATTGATAAGCTTGATGAGGTAACAATCCTCTTTGGTATTTCCGATAATAACCCTGGGAATTGTTTGTTAAATCACATAATCATTCTTGGAAAATATACCATTTATTCATGTCGTTGTAAAAATATCAAGCCGTCTGTATCCTTACTGAAGGCTAAAACATCTGAAACTCGGAAATTTGAATTTTTGATTGCAAAAAAGAAAAAAAAAGAATCTATTCATTATAAAAAATGGGAAAACATGTTATTGTAACTCAATAGATGAGTATCGGGTATTAACAGTTATAGACGCAGTTGTATATACAGTCGTTCTACCAAAAAAGGAATTTGATGTAGAAGTATTTGTACAAATTAGGCTTATATTATTATATAACCACAACATAAATTAAATCTAGCCGACTGTGAATGTAATGTAATGTAGTATTTCGTTATTAGTGTTAGTGAGTAGCGTAAGCGTTAGTGTAATTAACTTTGTATTTGTTTGTATTACTCTAGTATTTGTGCTTTAAGTGAAAATAAAAAAAAAAATAAAAAAAAAAAAAAAAAAAAACTGCTAGATAATGACTAAACCCATCTGACACCACTACCTGACTCATTGAGCAAAAGGAAACTAAAATACTTATGCTGAAATTTTGCTTTGCATTCAGCATTGAGTTCTTCATCCAACTCAAAATAATATCCTAATCATAATTGAAAGTCATGGCACAGCAGTCAAGAGCTGTATTCAAATGTACCTATGGGTGGTCTCAACCTCTTAATATTAAGCTCAATTGAGACAAGATTTAACTGCATCTATTCTATAGAGTGGTGAGTTCTTTTTTAATATTAATATTATTATAGCACAGGTAATATATCTAACCTCTCACAATTGCCTTGAGGAAAGTTGGATTTAACTCAATGGCTGCTTCTGCATCCCTTAGTGAATCCTGGTGATTCCCTGTAATTAAAATAAATATCTCTAAATAGCTTTACATCAAACCCACTACCTTTACATTGATTTTAAGGGAAAAGTTGTGATGCTTATTGAAATTTGGGGTAAGAGGTTACTTTTTGCATGTTTGGGAGGCCAAGATAAGGCCTACATTCAAAATTATCACCTTTTTCACAAAACTACTACTTACAGCCCTTAGCTTCAAAAGAGAAAAAAAATGCATATTAAAGCTCTCATCATCTTACCAAGTTTAGAATATGCAATAGCCCTGTTGTTGTACAGTTTGGCCTTCAGTTCTTTCTCATTGCAGTTCATTTTAATTCCTTCAGTGTAAAAAGAAACAGCATCGATGAAATCTCCTTTCTTGAAGGCCTCATTACCCTCATTACTATAAACATCAGATTTGGCTGCAAAGAAAAAATAAAAAATAATGTGTGTCAAAGTCTGTGGTTATAGTTAATTAGCGTATAAACTGGGCTGCCAAGACTTAGAAGTTTAAAATCTGCAGATTTTTCCTTTAGTGCCAGCTGCCACTTTTGCTTTTTGCCTGACTTGACCCATACCCTGAAGACCTAAGATGATGTCTGCAGCCCTTCCCCCTCTCAGGACAAACCCCACTCAGTGGGTTCATGAGTGTTTTTTTTTTGGTTGAAAGCTCAACCAATCAGACTCAGTTGCTGTTGTGGCTGTTGTTGAGAGGAAAGTGTGATACCTACTTTAAAACAATATCAGCACAATCAAGAAAATTAAGATAAGAATCCTAAGATAACCATAATAACATTGGCTATGGAAAATCTGGAATTCAAATGTTATGTTTCTGTGAGGAACTGACCCAAATCATCTTTTATCTTGAAAGTTTGATGACCCATATGGAAGACCCAGAGTCTTATTCTGTGTCTGTGAGACTCCCTGATAATTTAGATGGTTAATGAGTCAATAAGATCCAAATGTTGCAATCATAAAAACCAGAAGCAATATTACCCATAGACAAATAGTTATTATACAAAAGATAATAAGGCTTTGTAGCCGGACAGAGTAAGATATTGCTTTGATGAACCACATTGGCAATTTGCTTCAAATTGAGTAAGGCTTAATTCTTATTATTATTATTACTGTTGTCACCCACCTCACTAGCATCATCATAACTATTAATCTCATCTTCTTTATCATTACTGTTATCATTTTATCACTTTGATGAACCACACATTGCTTTTGAAGTTCATTTTTCTTATATTTTTTAATGAAAACAAAACGTTTTGGATGAAACATCATCCATCATCAGTTGTATAATGAGAAATAAAATGAAATTATGCAATAAATTGTAGAATAAAGTGAGATGTTAACGAGAACAATTAAAAAAAAGTGAAAATATTGAAGCTAAGAAGGGAGACTAATTAGTATGAAAGGAATAAATTAAGATGTTTCACTTTGCATTGCCCTGTGATGGAAAAAGGACCGGTGTATGGTAATTTAAAATACAAACAATTTTCCCTATGAGCAGCACTCTGAGAATAGTCGGAGGTGAAGTATTGTTAAGAAATTTTCTTACAACATTCTTGATGGCATTAGAAGGGAACAAATTCTTCCTTAACAATTTAGTAAGGCTATTTATGTCAAAGTGAAAGCCAGCGCAAGTATTATTAACCTTCAACATTTGGTCCACCAAAGTGCGTACTAATCGCAATTTGTAACTGAGCAAAATAATTAGCAACCTGACTACCAACTTACTGACTGTGCTTTAAAACCTAGACCTTGAAGACTTTTTTCTTCTGAGCCATTTGTTGTAACTTCACTATCTACCTTAACTCTTTAAACTCTGCAAGTATCCTGAGCATCTCACTTCTCCTTACAGTAATATAACTGCTGAATCATTCTTTAAGGTCATGAGAATAAAGGAAATGCCTGACAACCTAAGAAGCATTGATCTTCAAATGAATTCTCTTTTTCAGTACCAAAAGAAACACACAGAGAAGAGTATGGAGAATATGGATACTGATGTTAGGGTGTCAAGGGTTAAAAACCTCCATATTCAATTATGTAACCCTTGTATTCCATAGGAAAATTTGTTACCTGACAAGGGAATTACAGATTAAATCGCACATGAAAACTGATATCTTATGAATGGCTTCATCGTTCACGCGATATTGAATCAAAAAATGTTTGCTTGTTTAACAGGGTTTAAGATTGCTGTGCATGACTCTTTTTTAGCTCTATATTTGATCTTAAATTTGTCATGGAGAAAATTCTTAATAAATGACTTGTTTAGGTTTTCATTATTTACTAAGCTTTGTCAGGCTGATTCTCAGAGAGATGTGATATTAATTAGTCTCCTGTAGTAGGCAGGTAGTAAGTGTGGAAAAATGTTAAGCAACACAACAAATTTAATAATTATCTTTATCATAGAAAATGAATTGTGCTATTTCATACCATCATCTGGCTGATCGGCGATATGTCGAAGCTGTTGAATTTCTAGATCTCTTTCCTCCTGTTCACTGTATACCTTTGAAATCCTGTTGATTTGATTTTCCAGGGTTTCAATTTTCTCTTGCTGAAATTTAATTTCTGCTGTTTTCAGTGTAGACAGTACAGCTGCCGCCTCATTTTCCTTTGGTTTAATATAGATGACAGAATCTGAGTTCCTTCTATTTACGTCTCTGTGATGACCATACTCCTCCTCACTAAAGACTGGAAATCAAATTGAAAAAAAAACAAACGGACAAACAAACACAAAATAAGCAATCAGAAACTCTTTGACTTTTGTCACCAGATATTACTGGCTCCAATTATGGTCAATGTCTTAGACAAAATCACAACAACTTAGCACCTTATTTACAACCCTGCAGTTTTTCCAAATACTTTGGGGATGGAAGACTTTACACTCCTGTTATAAGTACCGTATTTATTCGCCTATAAGCCGATCTCGGCTATAAGCCCTAAACTTTTTCATGTCAGCAGCTGAAATAAAAAAATAAACACAAAACATTCGGCTATAAGCCGAGACCTAATGATTGCAAAGTACTCCACGCGTGTCGTTAACTGAGATGAATTAACATAAACCGAAAACAAAAGGAGCTTCCCTCTCGGGAAACATGCAACCAGAAAGTAGGTTATGAATAAACATAGATCATTCTAGATCGCTAGAGATTACGGAATCAGTGAATCGATGGTGCGTCGCTGGCGAAAAGATCAAGCGAACCTGTTTAATGGTGAGCTTAAAATGTCAGCAAAGCGAAAGACGATGGACTGCTTTTCGCCAAAGTATCCTGAATTGGATCAAACACTACTGGACTGGTTTTCAGTGCAGAGGAGTCAAGGTAGGTATTTCGTTTCTTTAAAACAATGAAAAGCTTCGATCAGCTGATATCTGTCAGATCGTGTTGCAATGTTTACACAAACTGTGGGAATGACCGCTTCTGATTGGCCAGTTTTTCATGTTGTCAAATTTCGAATCTTGTTAAGCACCCGTAAATTTTTTTTGGCGAAAATACTCGGCTATAAGCCGAACCCCCTACCTTGGCGAGAATTTACCTGTTCTCAGTTTAATTTGTTGGAAAAATCGCTCGGCTTGTAGGCGAATAAATACGGTAGTTTCCATGGTGTGTAAGGTGCTTTTAATCATTGTTGTTCACGTAATGCAGTTGACGTTAATGAAGTAGACTCTATTGTCTTTTTAAGAAAGTGGAACTAAGCTATAAAAGCCCCTTGCTTGAGGAGGATAGTCCCTGGTTGTATTTGGCCTTTTAGTGTTTTAAGAAGAACCTTGATATCATAATAATGCAGTCACTGAAAACAACAGAGGAGGTAGCCAGGGCAAAATAACCTCTTCTGGGCATTCCAGGAAAAATTGCTTGGTTCTTCAGGAAACTGGTTAGATCATGCTTCAAGACAACAAAAGATTGTGATCAGAACAAAGCTTACATCCATACAACAAGTGAACAACATAAGGCTGTGGTCTCATTTTTTCACCAAAGACCTAGTAGAACAGGCAGTATCAAGCAGTAGACCTGATTTGATTTTTATGACCCAAGTACTACCATAATATAAATTAATTGTACTGTCACATCGTCATTACAACCATATTTATATGCTCCATTCATGGAGACATAGCCACATTACACTTCAGCGAAGACTAGTGAACAGGCTCATTACTCGGGCTTTCCAAAGGAAACACCCAAGGTACAGTACCGCTCGAAGATAAGCGAACCACCTAACGCGTGGGCTCGAAGAAGTCAACGCTCTTTCGCTAACGCGTTAGCTAACGCGTTGATCATCGACCCGTATCGCCTTTGTTATTCACTTTGCCACCTCCAACCTTCTTTCTTTTGTATCCATTGTTGACCAACTCAAAGGACGGCCTTCATCCGCAACTGAAAACCTTTTTGAATTTGCATAATTTTACTTGTCGGTCAAGGTTTACGTTCTGTTGCTTTTCGCCGGTTTTGAACAAAATGTATTCTGCGACAGATATCTGAAAAAAAAAATTAAGGCAAGCTTTCGAAAACTACAGAGCAACTCTTAACAAAAGAACCCAGAACTGATGCGCTCTCTGCTTCTTGAGTCGAGAATCGAAAACGCTCATCGCCAGAATGTCTGGGCCACGCGAGTCGATTCTTTCTGCAACCAAAATTTCAATCACGATTTCGTCAAGGGAAACATTGGGCGGTTTTCAACAATCCGCGTTAATCAAGTCAAACAATCTCCAGTAGCCCAAGCCAAGGCAAAAGGTTTCATTATTTAAAGCCTATCGATCGAAATTCGAGTCACGAGTTTTATTCGTGAACTGCTAGCGAAAAAAACATACTTATAATTTGTCACGCTTTTATTTACGTTCTGCCGCTTTTCGCCCGGCTTTCAGCCGACTGTATTGTGTGTGTGAGAACATACATTTATTGTTACTTGCTCCTTCCTTAAAATACATGCATGGTTTTTCGCGATACTCAAATGTCGGCGATCTAACTTTTTAACAATCTCAAAACAAGAGAAAATTATTTGTTATTTCATGTGTCGTTAATCCTATTTACATCAAACCTATTCGTGAAATCTAGGTCCAAAAAACAAAACACGGCGAGAACTATCGAAATACACAACACTCAGAGCCAAATAAAACTACTGGTTACGTTCGGAAAACTTAATTCCTCTTAGGTAAGTGTCCACTGCTTTCCTGCAGTCTCTCCACTGGAAATCTCTTCCTTCGGGTGGAGCTGGATAGAACTTGCAGACTGCATCCATGATAACATTAACTTTGTCAGGATTAAGTGGCTGTTTTCCTGCCACCCCTCGCACATTTCTGCCCCTTAGTTCCTCTGGTTGGAACAGCATGCGAGTGAGGTGGACGGCAAAGTTTTTAACAGAGGCTGCCTTTGATCTTATTTCAAATAATTCTTCATGACTGAAGAAGTCAT